CTCCCATCCCCGGCATGACACTGGTGACAGGGGCCCCATCCATTGTGCAGCTGCTGCCAGCACGACCTGTCACTATCGTCTATTTCTGTGACTGCATTGTAAGCCGGAACCGGGCAAAGTCTGCTTCTAACAGTTGTGGGGGACCTCTGCTGGGACCTGTAGGCCAACAGCTTCTTAGGGGGTCAGGTGCTTTGTGCAGTGGAGTCACAAGGGGTGTGTGGCCCGAAACTTGTGACACCATCAGAGGGGGTGGCACAAAAATTACCCCTCAGAAAAGTTGGGCACTTGGTCCGCACCCCTTTCTGAGACCCTCAGCACCCCTTAAGACCCTCCACACCCCTCCTGAGATCCTTTGCACCTCTCTTAAGACCCTTTGCCCCCCTTAAGACCCTCAGCATTCCCCCTGAGATCCTCTGCACCCCTGATGGCAGTGGCCCCTTTCAGCAGGATAATGATCCCGGCCACACTGCACACATGGGTGAAGAATGGTTTGAGGAACACAACAACGAGTCCGGGGTGATGACTCCACCTCCAAATTCTCCAGATCTCAGTCCAATCGATCATCTGTGGAATGTTCTGGAAAAACAAGTCCGATCCATGGAGGCTGATCAGCTCACAGGACTCAAAGGATCCGCTACTGACGGCTCGGTGCCAGATACCACAGCACACCTTCAGAGGTCTAGTGGGTCCATGCCTGGACGGGTCAGGAAAAGGGGGACCTACTCAAGGCGGGTGGTCACAATGTTATGGCTGATCGCTGTGGATTTCAGTAGTAATCTGAACGGACGGCACCGGTGCTTTTATCAGTTCTTAAAATGACTTTCTGTTGTAAATCTTCTCTATGAGGACTGTAGACACGGCTGTCACCCATTAGTCCTGCTCCTCTTACAGCTCTCTTAGCATTCTGTAGATACAGCTGCATCTATAGCCGGCATCCGGGTCCTGCTGTTCCTAGAGCTCCCTGTGCACATTCTATAGACAGAGCTGTGTCTGTGGCCGACATTCCGTCCTGCCGCCTTATCAATAGCTCTCTATACACACGCATCCATTGCACCCCATGTGACATTTCAGACATCAATCCGGGAGAACCCAGAGATGGCCCCCGTGAGGCTTCAGAATGGCTGACAAAGATAGGTGACACATTTTGTCTTTGGGACTGATAACTATCTGGATTTATTATATCAGATATGCCAGAAGGTGAAGTTGACTTGTATGTCTATTAGCTCAGTCCGCAGTACCTTCCAATGGCCACAAGGTGTCACTGTTGTCCTGATACCGCTTCTTAGTGCTGACTTTGAATCTGAACTGAACACAAGATGATGTTCTACCGTACTTGCAGCTCTCGTGTGTCCCTCCGGCATTCCCAGCAAGTCCCGCTTAGCAGTTTCTAATAAAAGCTTTAATAATGCTTCTTCCTCCCTGGGGAACAACTGCGAGGCTAATGGCTGTCAGTCCATTATTCTGCACCGCCTATAACTGCGCTCACTGACTCTGCGTGATATCATTACTAAACCTTAAAGCACAACTCCAGCTAAATGCATGCAAATGGAATATTTGTGTTCAGCCAGTCTTGTGATTCACACTCCGGCCCTATTCCATAGCTGGCAACTGCGCTGCTGGTTGCTGCAGTTTTGCTGCTTCCTGTGTCACCTGCGTGCTGATTAGCCTGTGAATGGCCACCATCGCACTGCTGAGATCCCCTGTTCTCAACATCTCTGGCTAAAGGGCCAGAAACATGTTGATTGCAGTAAATCAGAGCGCAGACTCTACCCCTTTGGGTCTGCATTCTGCTGTGCAGGGGATGGCAGGAAGGCAATATAAAGACAGACTTCAGGGACTTAGACTAGCGGCATTTTAAAAGGAGATTTCCATGGAAGAACATCCCCAACAATGGCCGTGGCAGGTGGGCGGAGCTGAGAACACAGGCACGGGGATTTCCCTGCAGGAGAATCATAGTAGGACTGCTCCTTACATCCCCTTTAAATAATCACGACGCCACTCAGACTGTAATCATTTTTTTTTATTTCGAGGGTTCTTCAGAAATACAGTTGATAAAAAATAAAGCACTTGTCCAAAAAAATTGGACATTTTCTTTGTTCAGTAACACAATTAAAAATAAAGTAGTCGCAATATTAACAATACAGCGGGGGGGGGGGGGGGCCCGGGACACGGGCGCGCGCTTTTGGGGGGGGGGGGCCCTGGAACTGTGACCGTCAGTAGTCGCCGCGCTATGGAGGAGCGTCCGCGGCTGCCTGTCAATCAATAGTACATTGTATGCACCGAGATACACAGGAGGATCGATGGGGAAGGACTATGCAATGTTCGTAGGAGACGCCCGTGTGGCTGACCCGTAGAACGGAACAGGAGCTGATTTTTAATGTTTTATGGGCCGGAGAAGGGTCAGAAATTCCGCTAGGTTTGTCATCACTCCCCATTTGGGGGAGATCCCTTACTTCCTGTCATGTTATCAGGACAGGAAGTGAAATCTCCCCAATTGGGAACAGAGACAGCTGTAAAAACCTAGTTGAGCAGGGAGGAAAGCAGAACGTATGAAGTCCAGATTCAGTTTTAGTCAGATTCTTGTAATATAAAAAAACAAAACATTTTTGGGGATTCAAAAGGTCCCCCTTCATCAGGGCTTAGTACTGTGTGCTGGACTGATAAAACTGTAGGGATCCCGAGTGGTTATTCGTCAGATGATCTCTCCAAATGCTGGGTTAGGCATCCAAAGTCCTGGGGAAGGCTGGCCCTCTGCACCCGGAGCCCCGGGGAAGGCTAGGCCTCTGCACCCGGAGCCCCGGGGAAGGCTAGGCCTCTGCACCCGGAGCCCCGGGGAAGGCTAGGCCTCTGCACCCGGAGCCCCGGGGAAGGGTGGCCCTCGGCACCCGGAGCCCCGGGGAAGGGTGGCCCTCGGCACCCCCGAAACACTTTGGTTTTTTTCAACACAAAGTCTGAAGAAATTGAATCTTGACTTTATACTTTTTACCCTTTCCTTCTTGCACATCCAGGTTTTTACTGCTGTCTCTGCGCCCCATGGGGATGATTTCCTTTCACTTCCTGTCCAGGTAACACAACAGGAAATAAGGGATTCTTACTCGAGCAACCATCCGACCTTCAGCCACCTCTTCTGGGAAAGCTGCCTAAGTAGAATCATTCCCTCTGCAATTATTAGGGCCTCAGACCATTTTCTACTTTAGGAAATCCATCACCCTGCACCCCCTTCTACTCTCCAAGCACAAATAACCTGTAGAACATTGGAAGGATGGAAGCGCCACAAACGGTCACCAAGTCCAGTGAGAGTTTTATTCAGGAAGACATTTCAAACGAAATCTGATGCATTTCAGGGGCTCAAAGATCCCCCTTCATCAGGGTTCAGCATGGAGTCTTTACCCATTCTCAAGCCCTGTGGGGTCATCAGAGTTGTTGAGCCCCGAAACATGCTGGACTTTGTGACACCCCAATTCACTGCCTCTGAAAAGCTAGATTCTGATTGCGTCCAGAGATCCACCAACACATGAGCGGTCCTTCCTAGCCCCTCCCTATTCTATCCAATAATTACAAAATGTCTGGAGGTCCTCATTATTCTTTTCCTGAAAGACAAAGTAACAAAATGCAGCCAATGAACTGATACGAGAAGAGAAGCTCCGGTTCCCGGGTCGGTTTCTGTCCGTCATTTGGGTGAATCATGTTTAAAAATAGAAGTCTTGATTCACCGCAGCGCAGTCCCATGGGGGAGGACAGGCGGTGGGGTCCTTGATGATGGACAAGTAGACCTTCTGCAGTCTCTTGCGATGGAGACTCCGCACTTCCTTCAACTTCATACAATGACTATTCCTTTCAGCCGCGGTGATTCCTAAATCCAGACGTCCCATATTAAACCCACCAACCGGATTCTTCGCTTTCCTCACTTCAGAGCAGTCAGGACAATGAAAGCTGCTTTCTGATTGGTTGTTGGAGATGACTAGACAGGAAGTGCCGGTGTCGACGGGCGTCTGCTTGCATCAGAGAGATTTGCATTCCCATACAAGTCTATAGGAGTGCAAAACTCGCCTGTAGCAGGTCAGTGGATCCTGAATGAGCAAACTGACGCCATCGCCACAAGCCCGTCGACGCAGTCCCTAAATGTCAGTTTTAGGCCTCATTCACACGAGAAAAGGCCGGCATGTGCAGCTCCGTGATGCGGCTGTATCGGGCAGCTCCCGGGAAGGACAGGTGCTGCGTGTGATTAGTACGCAGCCCCCGTCCTTCTCTAAGCGAGTACGTCGCCGTACGCCACCCTACGCTCACCTCAAGTGCAGATCCGTACGGGTGCAGGTGTCCCGGCTCAGACGCAGACAGGTTCCATCCTGTCAGCATATGAATACGGACACCCGCACCCATGTGCAGGGCAGGTGGAGCGTAGGGAGGCGTACGTCCGCGTATTCCCATAGAGAAGGACGGGGGCTGCGTACTAATCACACGCAGCACCTGTCCTTCCCGGGAGCTGCCCGTTACGGCCGTGCACGCAGCACGGAGCTGTACGTGCCGGCCTTTCCTCGTGCGAATGAGGCCTTATACATAGATCAAAAAAGAGATTTTATAGTTCTCTAGAAGCTCCCTAAGAAGTAAATATTTCAGGGTCAGTTATAAAAAGAAGTTGCCGTTACCACCACTGACCAGAAGGTGGCACTACGAGGCCAGGCCGTGCTTGCTGATCCCTGTGATCTATTCTAGGTCAGGTTTAGCACACACACAGCTTTAGGTTTCTTATATAATGTCACGGAATCATAAAAGACGACCGCCCAGCAAATTCCAGGGTGCGTTTTGAGTTGGAAGATGACGCAGACCCCCCCTTTTGAAGTCTTTGGGCCGTTTCAGGAGCGAGCTCTTACTCCGGTCTACGACGCCTGCATTTAAAGGTTTCCCCGCCGGTCGGTGTGTGGTGCAGTCTGTTCTCCGGTATATCCACGCCGCGGGTAAAGGCTTGCACACCGCCGGCCGCCGCTTGATGCGAAAGGGGATCAGGGTAACGGGAATTAAGCGTTTCCATAAATAGGGGTTGGTTCTTCGGTCACGGAGAGATAGGTGGCCCTCATACTGGGAGAGTACTGGGGGGAGAAAAAACACAACATTTTAGATGACGCGCCATGGATCACAATGTACAAAATACACGCAACATACAGAAGGCGTCATGAGGATGAGAGTCGGGAGGCGAGACATGAATAGAAGGGTCCTAATAGAGTGACCTGAGCCTAGGAATTTAAAGAAGACCTGTTGTGGATTTTTGGCTTCAGGGCCCATTCACACTTGTCTGTGCACGTTCATGTGCGCTGTGTTCATGTGTTGATGCACGTTGCTTTAAGGCGGCCCGTTTCACTCTTAATGAAAAATTGTACCTGCACCTGCGGCACCGCAGCGCTCCCATCTGCGGCACTCCCATTCACACTTGTCTGTGCACGTTCATGTGCGCTGTGTTCATGTGTTGATGCACGTTGCTTTAAGGCGGCCCGTTTCACTCTTAATGAAAAATTGTACCTGCACCTGCGGCACCGCAGCGCTCCCATCTGCGGCACCGCAGCGCTCCCATCTGCGGCACCGCAGCGCTCCCATCTGCAGGTTGTGGTGCCCTGAAGGGCAGATGTCATTTTTGTACACTGTATATGTGCAATGGGGTGCTACTGAGACGGCGCAACGTGAATATACTTTACAGGTTGTTGCACACGCACAGACAGTTGCGAAGGGGTATTTAAAGTGTTCCCGCCAAAAACAATCAACAGTAGATCATGACACAAGCCGACATGTTATTGGGGGGTGACACAAAACCCCTTCAGGGCTTAGTACGCAGCCAAGCCAGATGACAGGTGGGAGTAGGCGAATATCACTGCTTTGGTTCTCCTAGACCCCAACATAGAAGCTCAAGTCTAGAGGGACGTTCCCTTCCACAAAATGCACCGAGACCCTAAGAAACCTTCCAAACATCCCATCCATCCAACCATCACCGTTCCTTATTACAGTGACACTAAACTCCGGAGTTACATCTTAAAAATCCATTCAAGTCTCTGAAGTCTGAACAACAATGTATCTTATTTGTGTATCACTCGGCTGTAGATCCTCCAATCATCTCTGAATTGGTGCCGAAACTGTCCTTCCTTCTGGAGGGGGCTACGTCTGTTCCCCATGGTCCCTGTGTGTGTTGTAGAGTAGTCACCACTCCAAGCTCCCTCCCGGGATTGACTACAATCTAATGTTTAGTTTACTGATTTGTAATGAGATTGTAGTCCATCCAGGGGGGGGGGGGGGGGGAAGGGGGGGGG